GAAGAAGACTGCTTAAAACACCAAGGTCAGGGTGGGACAATTGAGTTGCTGTGATGAATTCCCGGTGAGTTCCGAGGATACTGGACGAGAGGAGAGAGGCGCTGAGCAGACGAGGTCCTCGCTGCTGATTCCGAATCAAGGATCATGTTTGAGGATGTATCGAGGTCTCGTGACATTCTCCAGCCCTCAACACATATTCGTCACACGACACCCAATCCTCACTGACCCACCACTCCGCACCATCACACACCACTCGCACCACTCACCATGCTTACACACCCCAACCACCCATGTCTATATATACCCACCACCTCCACCCACTCCTCGCCACACACCCAACCACTACTCACCGAACACCCTTCGCCAAACACCCAACCGCCCACCCAACCAACCAACCTGTACATACACTGCGGTCCACCCACCCCTCACCACACAGCCCTAACCCCTTCACTACACCTCGCCACCCCTCACCAGACACCCTTCATACACCCTTCGCTACACACCCAACCGGCCACCCGACCAACCTCCAATACATACACTGCGGTCCATCCACCTCTCCAGCCACCACTCACCACATACTCTTCCCACATACTTCATCACCCACCACCTACTCCTCTCGACACATCTGTCAACACACACCCCTTTCCACCCATTTGCCTGCTGTATCTATAGATGGCGGAGTTTCCTAGCTCCGCGCGTCCCTGCACTCGAGCGAGCATTGCATCGTGCCGGCTCATTGGAAGTGCTGAGAAAGAGGTGTAAATTCCACATTTGTGTGCCGGGGTCGGTATTCTGTAGCACAAGCACTGCCGACTCCGAGTTGCCCAGCCGCAGCCTGCGGCATTCGCTTCCCTCTCTCGAGGGGTCGGTGATGGTGGTGATGATGGGGTTGATGGTGTTTATGGTGATTATGGTGAGGATCGTGATGGTGTGGATGGTGTTAATGGTGAGGATGGTGTTAATGGTGAGGTTGGTGTTGATGGTGAGGATGGTGGTGATTATGGTGAGGATGATGAGGATGCTGATGATAGTGAGGATGGTGATCGTGAGGATTGTGATGTGGGTGAGGATGGTGTTGATGGTAAGGATAGTGAGGATGGTGATGATGGTGAGGATGGTGATGGTGAGGATTGTAATGTGGATGAGGATGGTGTTGATGGTAAGGATGATGAGGATGATGACGGTTTTCATGGTGTTAAAGTGGGTATCCTGCAAGATCACCTTCGTGACCACTCAATGATATTTGGCGGTCGACATACAAATCTGATTAAAGTTCCACGTGAAATGATGTATACACACAATTTGAAATCCTTTGAATATCGGGCCATAATCCACGACATCGCCAATTCTGACCTTTCCCTGTTGTCTGTACGATATATCGCACCTCTAAGAAAGTCACGGAGAATTCAAGTCCCCCTGGCTCAACCCAGACATTGCCCAGCTCATCCGCTCCAGCAACACGGCTTGGAAACTCGCTTAACAAACGGGTTTCGACTCAAACTGGACCAACTACAGAGTCCTAAGGAACTCCTGCACCAAATTAGTCTGGGAGACTTAATACTGTCACTTTCAGGATACCGTCTTGGATTCAAAAGATGAGTCCAACCTTTTATGGAAAGCCATAATGCCCCTTAAAGATAATACATCTGAAAATGGAGTCCCACCAAAGCTTTTGCTCGATGGCAGTTGTCTTTAGAATCAAACTGCAATTATTAATGGGTTTAACACACACTTTACATCTGCAGGCCACATCTTCAACATTGACGTCCAGCCTTGTGGCACTACTATTTATCTGGCTCTTGACCCAACTCCTGATTTTCCCCTATTTAGAAGTTAAATTTCCTCCTAATCTCGGAATGTGAAGTCCTAACCCTGCTCTCCATGCAAAACAACCTCCTCTGGTGATGGTGCCAATGACCTGTCTTCCTTTTCCCTCCACCTTGTGGGGAACTTAATTGCAAAACCGATATCCCAGATATTCAACCTTTTTCATTCTAGAGGTATCCATCCCTCCTGAATGGAAAACTGCCCTCGTGCACCCTCATCATAAAGGTGGCGCTGCAAACGACCTTAATAATTAACGCATTATCTAATCCTCTTCTTGAGAAGATCTTAAAATCACACATTTCATGTCATAATATATCATTCCATCATCAGCAATCTGGCTTTTCTAGAATAAATACAGCACAGCCTCTGCAGTACTTGATATTCTTCACTCTATCTTCAACAGTCTTGAATCGCATCATCATTGTGCCATCCTATTCTTGGACTTGTCTAAAGCATGTGACACTGAGGATCATGCTGTGATGTTGCAAAGGGTAAAAACCTTACATTGTAGGATTGTGCTATCAACTGGATTTCCAACTACTAATCTGACTGATTTCAAATTGTTTCCATCAATTATACATCATCTGACAGGACCTCCAAATGGGGTCTCTGTGCTTGGCCCTATCCTGTTATCGCTGTATGTCAACAACCTAGGCATACATTTTGATTTAAAGCTTTCGTGACTGTAGGGATTCATATTCTTGGTTCTTTCGGTAAAGTGACGTAAAAGGTAAACAATAAAATAATAAATATATAATAAAATATTATTTTATTGTTCCCTTCTATGTGACTTTACCGAAAGAACCATGAATATGAACCTAGGCATACTCTGTGGTTCTTTCGGTAAAGCCACGTAGGTAGATAAATACATAATAAATCACGTTTCGATCGCAACACAAGCAATCGTCATCGGGTGGAAAGATACAGCAGTAGAACTGCTGAAAAAGAAAGGGCTGCTGCAACAAGAGGTTATATAGAGGTTTGAGGTGGGTGTCACCCAAGGGTAAGTAGGTGGGGTCAGAGATGGAAAGGAGTTCCATCGCCGCACACAAAAAAAATACACGCGCTAACACACAAATTAACTCCGTCGACCGCTGGTGAGAGTGAGGCATCACACAAGGCGGGAGATGCGTACATCCTGGCAGCGTCCCAATGTACAGTATTGTACCTCATACGCTGCTGCGTTTGCCTGCCGCGCGAAATGTGAAATATTTTACAATTTTGTCATATCGCCATCGTAAGATCGAAATCTCGTAAGTCGGACCATCGTAAGTCGGGGACTACCTGTATAACCTCTTGTTGCAGCAGCCCTTTCCTGTTCAGCAGCTCTAGTGCTGTATCTTTCCACCTGATGACAATTGCTTGTGTTGCGATCGAAACGTCGTGATTTATTATTTATTTTTATACCTATTCCTGCAGTCACGAAAACTTCAAATCAAGATTCAACCTAGGCATCTCTAACCTGCTCTATGACATTCACCTTTTTGCTGATGTCACAGCCATGATGGCCTCCGGAAAATCCCATGGAGGCGTTACAACAGCATCTACAGCAGGATTTAGATTATCTTCAACTTCACCTGCCAAAATTTGTCCTCAACACTAAAAAGGCCAAAGTTATGTTATTCTCCGGCTGCCCCAAACCTGTTGTCTCACCACCTCTGCCCGTCGTGGCTCTGGACTAACGCCCTATTGAGCAGGCTGACAACTTTAAATGTCTAGGCGTTATCCTGAACTCGAACCTGTCCTTTAAAACTCACATTGACGATATGGCCAACAATATAAAAACCGAAATTGGATTTATTTAGAGAGAAAAAACTCAACTGTATTCCACTTCGACTCCGCCTGAATACTGTATAGCTTAAGCCACAATAATATGTAATTACTGTAATACGTATTCTTGGCTCTTTCGGTAAAGTCACGTAGAAGGGAAACAATAAAAGAATAAAAATATAAAACAATATTATTTTATTGTTTCCCTTCTACGTGACTTTAACGAAAGGACCAAGAATATGAATCCCTGCAGTCACGAAAGCTTTAAATCAAAATTTGACTGTAATACAATCTAACCGTCGAGCTTGCAGAATACATACGTCTCATTGAATCACTCCGCTTTCTATTTTGCTCGTGACACCCGCAATAGAACTCATCTTGACCACCTGTACATCAACTCAAATCTTTCGCCGCTGGATATCCGGAAAGTCCATCACTGGGCCGTCTTCATCGTCAAGGTCCTCTTAAACAAATCCACAAATTGCCTAAAGGGCGACTGAGTGCCTCTAACTCCCTCCCGTAGCATCAGAATCGGCTCCTCATTCCAACTAAAATGTCTAATTGCTAAAAGTTCCGTAAAAAAAGAAAGTATTTCCGCGTTACTGTTCAACATTTCTGGAATATTCCAAACGTCCATCTCAAGGTTCGTTCCCTCCGTTTACTCCTCTTGATTTCCCGATGAGCCCAAAACACGGAGCATGCTTAACACTCACAGCATACTTGCAAACTTCAAATCAATATTAAAACCTGCACCTGTACCTAACTTTCTTTCTGGCGTCTCTTGCTCTCATACTTCCTTTTTTTCCTTTCACGTGTTTCGTTCACGACTGTTAATGACCTCGTTTGTTAGTTGAACCCTATGGCGGGACCCCGGGGTCCCGAATAAACGGAAGTCAAAATCGTAATTAATTTATTGTTGGCGACTCCGTCCCACCGCGCACATAAACGCCGCGACCCGCCTGGCACGGACCATTCTGTTGTCATGTCGTCCAAGCGCATGCAGCGAGGATGAATGCGCAGAAGAAACACAACTTTGAAAGTTTGATTAGCGCGTCGTGTCGAGCTCGTCGAGAGGATTAGATTGCCGTGTCGTTCGCCTTCAACAGGCAAATGACGTCGCAACGCAGTTTATGCTTATGGGACCCCGGCTCCCGCCATAAGGTTCAGTCGTGCAATATTCCTTCAGGACCCAGTACTCGGTCTCTGCAATATTGATGTCTATGTTATGTTGTTCCTGTTGTCCTCAAGCACCACGGATCTTCATTGTACAATAGCCGGGAAACTGGCTAAACGGGATCATCCGCGTAACATCGCGTGGATTTTTCTCCGGTTTTCCCTTCGACATTTAGACACATGCGTCCAGATGATTTGGCTGCTGTAAATTTCCACATGATAAGCCACTACGTCGAGCTGTCATTTGTGGCCAGGTCACTTGTCAAAAAGAGCTATTTCGCTCAGTGGGCCTTACCTGGTAAAATTTCAGTGTAGTTTTACATCTCAAATAAACTCGAACTCAAACAACCCCCACGATCGAAAGGTATGTGGCGGGCTGAATAGTCCAGCAGTGGCTGGACACGGCCTGCGCCTCGCTCGCTCTCTCTGTGTGTGCGCAGCAGAGGGCTCTGTTGAGATGCACGCGAGGTGCCTGGGGGATCATTACCAAGCCAATCAACACGGGCACACGGCCACCACCAGCAACACCGACCAGCAGGGCTCCCTCACTCCCGTGGCCACCGTCCCGCCCGTCACCTCTTCAACCAATGAAGCGCCTCCTCCTCCTCCTCTCCATGCCCTGACACCACCCCACCCACACGAAGGGGATTCTATAAAACGCGGGGGGCGCTCAACTCATGCGGCAGCAGCTGCCCCCCCACCGCTTCTCGCCGCGACATCAGCACCACGCAGCCCGAGGCGCCAGCTGTAGCTACATCCGCCCCTGCCTCTTCATTCAGCCGTGCTCAGCGGCTGCTGTTGCCGTCGTTGTCGTCGCTGCGGTTGTGAGGCTGAAGATGTCGAGCTACACTCGCGGCTTCAGCTCAATGTCTCTTGGGGGCAGCAGGGCCCGCGGTGGTCTGGCGAGCTCCTACAGCGGCGCCAGGGCAGCCGGGGTAGCGCTGCCCGAGCCCGCGGGCCGCTGGCCGGGCACCCCCCTGAGGGACGCGCACGGAGAACGCGAGGAGATGCAGGAGCTGAACAAGAGGCTGGCGGGATACCTGCACAAGGTGAAGGAGCTGGAGGCAGCCAACGCCACCACGGAGGCGAACATCCAAGAGCTGCTCCGCGTGCGAGGGGCCATCGTCCAGGACCACGGCGCCCGATTCGCGGCCATCGCTGACCTCAGGTCCAAGGTGGGGCGTGCCCAACATCGCCCCCTCACTCTTGGGGCGATAAAATGAGCATCACTTGCCTAACAAAGGGCAGCGTACTTCAATAGGGATTAACGTTGGTCCGGCTATTTTAATACACACAATAGACAGGAAGGACAAGTTCAAAGGGCTCGCATAATGCACATGCATGATGTACGTTGCCTCAGTAATTCCCCCCCTCGCATTGCGCGAGAGCGCAGCTGCGTGGTCAACACATCTACGCCTCTAGATAAGGAACGCAACAGGTGGACTTCTGCACAAATCTGGCTGTCGCCTGATAAAGCTAGTTGTAATTACTGGCGAAACGTCGTACTCAGATTGTAAATGTTGTGGCTTGGCTCTCCAACACACCGGTGTGCTGTACTAGTGACGAATTGGCCACGTTCTGTTTACGTGACAACCCTCACTAGTTGGTTGTGTCGGGTGGTGGAGGGTTTTAACGACACATTTCTATATTTACGCGATCTAACCCAAAAACGTCTTATGGATGCGATACGTATACCAAACTAACGAACGAACTCTTTTTTTTCTATTTTTATTTTAACATGTAAGGCCCACCGAGCTATACAGATATGTTTTTCAGAAATGACCAGACTATCGCAAATGATATGCATCATCGTGTGGACATTTTCTTTCGCTGCCAAATGCTCGAAATGTGTTGATTCTTCAAAATGTGGAGGGAAAAACCGGAGGACCTGGTGAAAAAATCCACACGACCAAGGGGAGAGAGACACGCAAACTCCAAATATACAGCAGGTGTCACGGCTATGAAGCCACTGCACCCTTGGGTAAAATCAGATTCGGAATGTTTATTTATACTGGAGGAATTCGATGAGCTATAAAGCTGGTTTTCACAGATGTCCAATATGGGTGGGTAAGAACATTACAGCAACAAACAATACAAAAACACGATAGCCGTGCAAAGTACAGGCAAGGTAAACAAATCACCTAAACACATAAATACAACTAAACCATCCCTATCCTGGCAGGCAAAGCCCACCATGCTGCCACCCCAGCAGGCTCTGAGCGCAAGCTGGCCTCTGTGTCACGAGCACTCTGAGCCGCCCTCTACGGTGGTATCTGAAATTCGCTGTCTACTGGACATTTGTGAAGAAGACGTTTATAGCTCATCGGATTCCTCCAGTATAAATACTGCAATTCTGACTTCGCAATGCACACTTGACAATGCGCGCTTTTAAAGCGATACGGCATATTAGGGAATATCTTTTAATATTTAAATACATCTCCGAAGCAAATTGTGTTGTAGGAAAGAGTGCAGTTGTGGTTTCAACACTGCATTTAATCTCAGCTTCATGGGTTCAATCCCTGGCAATGAGCGTCGGCGAGAACTCGCATCCAAAGCTGCTCCTGAGTCTTCCCGAGGTCAACGAAGCCTGAAATGCAAATACCTCGTGTGGTCCGTGGCAACAAAAGGCTGCCAGGCGACTGCGAATGGCATTTCGCCCCGAAAGTCTGTGATGGTTGACAGTCGTGCGGTGTTTGTGTCGGTGCGTGCACGTTGGGCCGCAGATGCTGGCCCAGGTGCTGGAGAACGGCCCGCATCGGCCTGGACGTGGACAATTGCACGCCTGGCCGCTGACGACTTCCGCTGCAAGTGAGTGCGGTGTCTGCGAGCGACGGGCATGCAGCGAGACTTCGGCTCGCCGGACAAACGGGGGAGCTCCACTGCAGCTATTTCTGATTGCACCGCCGGGGTCGGCTCGCTTGGCGGAGACCGCTTCCCTTCGGGGTGCCCCTTTCTGGCAGCAGAACTTCGGTCGGCACCACGGGAGAGGCTGCTGCCACCTTCCCCGCTGGAGCTCTCGCCCCTCGGATCGTGGTCAGAGGGTTGGCAACCCGCGACTCCAGAGCTGCACGCGGCTCTTGAAGGGCTGCTTTGTGGCGTTAATCATTAACGAGCACAGCTTCGTATTAACATGCTCTTGAAATATTGAGTTTATTGTTATTTTATTGAGTTTTTTTTATTTGACTGCGGGACCTATGGTCGTGGCGACCCAGGTTTCTTCCCAGGGCATTCGTACTGGCAGCATTTGGTACGTGAAATGATGCTAAATATTAACTTGAGAATAGGTTAATATTTATGAAATGACATGACGTAAAATATAACTAAATTAGAATAGCGTGCTCAACCCTGTTGGTGTGTTTGTGCAGAGACAAAGTGGGGAGTGGTGGGACAGTGGTTAGAGCACTGTGCTACAAACCCAGTTCCAGAGTTCAGTTCCCGCTCATGACCAATAACAGTGGCAAATTTCTGAACCGATCATGGATCTTCCCGAGGTCCACTCAGCCTTAATTGAGTACTTTGTGCTCTGGGGAGACGAAGGCAGCCGGGCGTGGTTCTGGCCACCCACCCCCTCGTGTGCTGTGCTGGTCTTTATAGGTGCTCGCTAACAGCACTTGCTCCAACAGTCTATGAAGGCTATATGTGGGATGTTTGTCTTTGTATATGCGTGCCTCACTGTGTGTGTGTGGGGAGCGGTAGTGTAGCAGCTAACCGCAAGCATAACGAACCCGGTGACCAGAGTTTGATTTCCGCTTACGGCCAATACCAGTGGCGAATATCTGAACCGGTCCTGGACCTCCCCTCGGTCGACTCGGCCTCAAATGAGTACTTGAGTGCGATGTGTCAACATCGCTATTCGGTAAACAATTCCGGCCGGGCATGGTGCTGGCCACCCACCCCCTCGTGTGCCATTCTGACCTTCATATGTGCTACTCGCTTACAGCACTTGCCCAATAGTCTGTTAAAGGCTATATGAGGGATCTTTGTATTTTGTGTGTGCAGGTGGGAGACGGAGGTGGCTCTGCGCAGCTCCGTCGAGGCCGACATCGGGAACTTGCACATGCTGCTGGACGAGTACACGGGCTCGCGGGATGCAATGGCCAGCGAGGCGCAGAGCATGCACGAGGAGCTCGCCTACATGAAGAGGAACCACAGGGAGGTGAGGCCCCCGGGACTCCGGGTTGAAGCCCAAGACCACGTGCAGGAGTACTCGTGCCGACGATAGACGCTGTTTACAGTGACACTGCTGAGGATGATGATGGTGATAATATCTGTTAAGATGTTCAAAACGCCAAATGGATACCTTTTTTAAGGCATCATGTCTGCATTTTCTACAAATACTTGTGGCAAAACATGCAAAAAACATGCTGTGATAATATTTGCATTGTCTTTGAAACTGATTGGCCTACACCAGACACAAGCTTCTTAAAAGCTTCTTAGTTCACAGGGTACTTCAAAATAAACTGAACTGAACTAAACTTCTTCATGGCCTTTTGATAGCTTGCAAAATGTATCTATTTGGTGTTTGAACATCTTAACACCTTTTTATTGCCAGAAATGTAAAGCCTATTCTTATTGTTTTAGCATTTATGTAGCGATGTAAATGGGCTGTGTACACTTACCTGTAAGGGCAGACATAGTCCAGCAGGGGTAGTCGCTATCTCCCTAGCCCCAGAGCAGGAGGGGGCTGCGGGGTGTCCTGGGATCCCCCGGAGCCCCCTCTGGAACTCTCTGGAAGGTAGGCGGAGCCAGGGCTGACGCAACGGTGCTGTGTATAAAAGCCGGACCCCTGGAAGGGTCCAGGGCCAGTCCAAGACAGAAGCAAGAAGACCAGCTAGCTAGTACCCTCGGACCCCTAGCTCCGCTGCCCTTGTAAGGGCCGGAACTCTGTGTGGCTCAGTGGTGAGACCCTGGGAACCCCCCCCCCCCCCCGGCCTGACGTCCTTGTGAGGGCCAGGTCCGAGTGGGCCAGTGGTCGCAACCCGCACACTGGCTAGGTCGGATTAGAGTTGCCTCCCCTCAGCACCCATAGCCGGAGGACCCAGAGTAGTGGTCCCGTGTTAGGGCACGTTAGCCCGGAGGCAGTACCTCCCCAGGCAGTAGATATAGAAGGGCCGTTGCCCTGAGTGAGCCGGGGCTGTATTGCCGAGTATTGTGAATAAAAGTGTTGCCTCCAAGATCAGCCTCCGATGTTTCCAGAACTCATGACACTACATTTAGATACTTGCAAAAGGTACCATAGATATGATAACATCTATGACGAGTTTCTGGAGATACACCCACAATGCCTCCCAAATTGACATCGCTTAACTCCATGACAATCGCCATCATCGTCAGCAATGAGGATGATGCTCCTGCAGCTAATGGTCCACCATCACCCACGCCACAAGCTGCCTTAGTTTCCATATATTTGCGAGCCACCAACCCTTGCCTCAAATTCACGTTATGACAAACGTGTTCTCCAGTCCTGACGTATTTACGCTGCACCAGACATCCAGTTAGAGTGGATTTGACCTATGGGAGGCTGCCACTGATGTATAGGGTGCCCCCGGTGGCGAGATTTTAAATACTTTGCCCGGTATACAGGAGGTCATGGGTTCGATCCTGACCCTGGCACCTGTATATTTGGAGTTTGCATGTTTTCCCCGTGCTCATGTAGATTTTTCCCTCCACATTTAGAAACATGCGTTTAGAGTATTTGGCTGCTATAAATTTCCACATGATAAGCCACTTCATTGAGCTATCATTTGTGGGCAGGTTGCTTCTGAAAAAGAGCTATACAGCTCAGTGGGCCTTACCTGGTAACATAAAAAAAACATTTATATTTAAAGCTTTCGTGACTGCAGGGATTCATATTCTTGGTTCTTTCGGTAAGTCATGTAGAAGGGAAATAATAAAATAATAAAAGTTAAATAAAATTATCACGACGTTTTGATTGCAACACAAGCAATCATCAGGTGTGAAAACCACAGCAATACATTTTTTGAAAAAAGTGGCGTTTTTTTTCTTAACGTTAGCACCACGGACAGCGACTAGCGGTTGTTCAGACGGACGAGTCCATCTATGCTCGAAACGGAGAAGGGGGGAGAGAAGGAGAATGGAATGTGGTCTGAAAGTCACCGTAAGCGTGAACACAATCAATTAAGACCTGAAATGGTTTATCACATCCTTCCAATGATTGCTAAGCCAGAATCCATCTTCTCGGTTGAAATTGTCTCTGTGTTTGTATATGTGGATAGTCTCATGAACTCATCTCTCATGGTAGCCGGATGGCTCGCAGAGAACCTCCGTCTTGGAGAAGTCAATGTCATGTGAGCCTACTGAATTATAACAGTGGTCTGCCACGGCTGAGGTGTTGGTCCTACCGTGTTTTAGGTCTGCTTTGTGTTCACGGAAGAAAAAAAACATTCTTTAGTTTGCCTGAGCCAGGAATAAAAAAACTGAGGTCGCCAGGTTTGCAGCACAGAGCGTTAGCCGTTCAGTCACCCTGGCAAGGTCAGTAAACCTCTGTAGCCTGACATAGCAGGGGCAGGTGCTATCTGATCCTGGGTCAATTCACCATGAGGTGGGTGACTGGTGCGGTGCATGCACATTGGTAATGGTGGACGCCCATAGTCCATCACTTTGGAGACAAGGGGTCATAATTAATGAGAGATCTGTAAAGCTCTAACACGTTGTGGGCTGTGTGGTGGTCTGTGACAGGACAGAAAGTGGATTCTTAATTTTTCCATGCAGAAGTTTGTTACAGTTTCACATGCGTAGGTTTTCTTCAGGTACTCGAGCTGCATCTGAAATGGGAAACGCACGGTGAGGCTTTCCCAAATAAACGCCATGTGTCCATCATCAATAGCAGCAGCTACTGCTACAGCATCAGCGGTGATATCATGATCATCATAAAAATTATTACCACCAATATAATCAACCTCAGAGATATCAACCTCATCGTTATGAACATCATCAAACTCATCAATCTCTTCGCAATTTAAATCACCCATCACAGCCATCGCTGCGATGCCAACAGTGGCAGAATGGGTCTATTCGAGTATTTGACTCCTGCTATATATTTACATTTGATAAGCCACCGGTTGAGCTGTCATTTGTAGCCAGGTCGTTTCTGAAAAAGAGCTATACAGCTCAGTAAGCCTTATCTGGTAAATATTTATATATATTTTTTAGTCTCCGCAATCGCTCAGATTTTCCCTAACCAGGCTATTTTTTGGGACATTCCACACGTGCGGAATTGGTGCCTCCAAAGGGTGATAACTTTTCACAATTTAATCAGATGCCTCTGATATCAAGGATGATAAAATGGCATCTTCAATTACTTTATCACCAGTCTATTCCAAATATGTTTTATTCGTAATTTTACGAGGCAAATAATCTGACGCTCTTGAGTGAGCATTGCCAAATGTCAAGATAAAGGCCAGTTTTGCGCAAAAATGCCAGCGATCACAAAAGGTAAGCTCAGGACGGGAATTATATAAGGTGCTTGTCACGAGTTTTTTTTCCCATTTGTCTTTATCTCTGCAGGAGGTTGGGAGCTCTCAAAAGCCCAGGTGGAAGGCTCCTCGGTGTCCATCCAGGTGGACAGCGCCAAAGGGGTGGACCTCACGAAGATGTTGGGCGACATGCGTGAGCAGTACGAGTCACTCATTGCTCGCAGCCGTGGCCAGGCGGAGGAGGCGTTCCGGAAGCAGGTGAGCCAAGCCAAGCACTCACCACCAGGGTGAGCCAAGCACTCGCCGCCAGGGTGAGCCAAGCCAAGCACTCACCGCCAGGGTGAGCCAAGCCGAGCACTCGCCACCAGGGTGAGCCAAGCCGAGCACTCGCCGCCAGGGTGAGTCAAGCCGAGCACTCGCCGCCAGGGTGAGTCAAGCCGAGCACTCGCCGCCAGGGTGAGCCGAGCACTCGCCGCCAGGGTGAGCCGAGCACTCGCCGCCAGGGTGAGCCGAGCACTCGCCGCCAGGGCGAGTCACGCGGAGCACTCGCCGCCAGGGCGAGTCGCGCGGAGCACTCGCCAGAAACGGTGGCAAGGAGGTGCCTGTAGAGGTGTACCGTATTTTCCCGCATATAGCCCGCATACGCATATACCCCGCAAAAATAGCGTTTTGTGTAAAACAAATTTCAGATAGCCCGCACCTCCATATACCCCGCATGCATTCATATCTTTAACGTCATTACTGCAGCTTCATTCAATCATATTAATACAACGTTTACAATTGTAATACATTCCACTATCAATTGTTCACGTTAAAATCATAACGTGCACAAAGAAAACAAACTAACCGGAAACGAGTGAACTTAAAACAGTAAATAAGTAACAAAAGTAAATATCCAATAAGTAAGTAACACATAACTGGTAGATTAGTAAGTAAGCATACTGTTAGGCTTACCAGCATTCGACCTCATCATATTACAGCTACTCGACCGGTAGTTACCCCTGTACAGTTTTAGCACTGGTAGATTGCGCACTGCGCAGACAATAGCGACACTATGGTAACGTCATTGCCTCCTGGCAACAAAGCCATTGGAAGTTTGAAACAAAGCTCATGGTCACGACTGTTTAGTGCTCAGCTAATAGCAGCGGCCTAAGGGATTCAGCAATTATGATTCCGCGTCTGGTAGACGCTTGTTAAGGCCTTTCCCATTGTGTAATCCATAGCCTCAGCTGAAACTTTCGCACCCCCTACAGCCACTGAAAGTATCACGGTAAACAAAGTGTGCCCACTTCAAACATTGTCGTTTCATTGTACAAACAATTCGAATAATTTAAAACGTGATAACATGTGCAATTTTAGTGTGAGTGGTTTATTCAGCAGTGCTTTAGTCAAAGGTAAGTGTTGACTAGTGGATAGTACTACCATGGAAACATTAAACGAGTTATGACATGTCACACGTGTAAAATATTTTTGGGATAGCCCGCACCTCCATATACCCAGCAGGGTCTTGTTTTGTTTGTAAAAAGTGGTATACCCGCGGGTTATATACGGGAAATTACAGTAATGATTCTCGATTTGAAGCTTTCGTGACTGCAAGGATTCATACTCTTTGTTTTTTTCGGTAAAGTCACGTAGATAAAACAAAATAAAAATAAAACAAAACAACTAAATCAAATCATGACGTTTCGGAGGCAACACAAGCTTCCGTCTTCAGGTGGAACATTCACAGCAAGATAGCTGCATCAAGTGGTGCGCTCTACAGGTTAAGGTGGGGGGGAGGAGCCAAGCAGGGAACGACGATGAGGCCAAGTTAATCCGTCTTTTGTTTTGTTGAGGGTTCGGGGGAAGCGGTGGTTCACTGCACGGGGGCAATGAAAAATGGTAAAAAAGGCTGTGCGCTTATAAGGTAGCTAAAGTTTTGACTTGGTTTATGACATCTTTCCAGTGGTTGCTTAATTTAAAACCATCCTCTCGGTTGAAGTTGTGTCTATGTTTGTAAATCTGAATGGCTTCATGGACAAATCTTTGGTAATAACCGGGAGCCTTGCAGAGAACTTTGGTATCGGAGAAAACAATGTCATGAGAACCCGCTGTGTTGAGACAATGATCAGCCACGGCCGAAAAATTCATCTGCCGTGTTTGAAATCTGATTTGTGCTCGCGAATTCGGTCAGAAATATGTCGTTTCATCTCCCCGATATAGCAGTCATCGCAGATACAACTCAATTTGTAAACACCCCGGGTGTTTACAAATTGGTAATGGTTCAATAGAGGCGCACACACTGAACTTGGGAGGCAACACTATTTATTATTAACACAACGGGTAGCTCTTCACATAGGGTGGTGACCACTGACCTATTCTCGTGAACACACACCATTACCCACTAACACTCGCTAACACTGACTCTGATACGACTAGCGTGGCCAAGCCAGGAGGATACTGGTTGACCACGCTGACTTGAGGCTTGACTCTTATTATTCACGAGGTGTCTTCATGAGGCATCTTCATCTCGGACCCGAGTAGCCTCGAACCCGGTGCAGAGGCCGCTTATATGCGCCACGGCGTGTCCGGGCCACACCCCGGCGATGCCCACCTTCAAGAACTCTCGAGAAGGCTCTTCCTCTGTTCATGTGGCCCCCACCAGCGTCTACGCTCCCACAAGCGCCATCGCTCGGACTGTTCTATTAGCGGGAGTCAACACGATACCCCCCTCGGTGGCGTCGCGAGCAAGCGGCCTGCACAACCGGAGGAGGACGAGCATTTGCTTTCCCTGGGGGAACCGTGACCATATCAGTAAACGAGCGCCTGTACCGACACGCAGACCTTGATACGAATCATTGGGCGACGACACGAATGCAACCCGCCCGTCCCCAAAGGCAACTCTAAACACCTGTGGTCCGTGAGGATTTTGAGGGTTATCTTTCCCAAGGAAGTCCGTCTCTGACAACACGGCACCACCAGGAATTCAGTGACCAGGATGGGCCCTTGCAACGTAATGCCCCCGATGGATACCTCCGCCACTATCTGTCCCAAAATTTCCAGCGAGCTCCCGTTAGCCACGAAATAGGGAACGGGGACGGGACGCAACAGGCCGTGGCCACGACTCGACGGGCCAACTGCGACCACTGGTTGCGCCCGAAAGGCCAACTCTCACCCGACGCCGTGGAGCCTCCGCTTGGCGCAACCCGACAAGAAGGAGTAACAACCATACACGATCAAAAGATGGGTGAGGTGGGAACAAGGGCCGAATGTGTGGTGCACCGCGACTCGCCTGGGGACCCTTGGACGTCGATGGCGGACGAGGAGACGTGGACGGTGGCCCAAAACGTCCCCGGCACGGTGCCCGACACTCCACAGCGACGTGTCCCGGCCACCCGCAGCTGAAGCAGACGCCGCGAGTGGAGCCAGGCCGGGGAAGGTAACGTGGAGGCCGGTCACATCGCCATTGGTGCTCGGCAGCGTGCCTCCGATCTCCGGTGCTGGCCACGGCGGCACAAACTGGGGTGGACTCGTCCTCCTCGGAAGTCTCACGCCCATCGACCTGTGCAGCACAAGCCACGAGGCCCGAGCGCTTCTTCAACCCGAGGCGAGACTGAATACACCGTGCAATCACGAGGGACGTTGGCTCGTCATCCTCCGAAGCAGGTAGGGCGACGTTCAGCTCCTTTGCCAGCCCCAACAGTTTGTCCATCACCAGGGAGTCGATGCCCGCCGGCTTCCAATTTCGGGAACGCTGCCTGAGCCAGCGACAAAATGGCGCTTCCGAAGGTGAAGGGCGTCTCGGTTTCCCCCCACCGTCTTTCCATGAACCTGTTCCGAATACTGGATGGCGGGTCGTAAATAATGGCCATCTCCTTGAAGGCCAGCACCAGCGTGGAACACGGTGCAGGCGGAATGGCGCAAAATGCGCTAACCAGCGTCATCATCGAGAGATGTGGGGAGCGCCTTTTAAAAGCCTCTTCCTCTGTCTACCTTCGTCAAGTGCAGCTCGCGGAGACGCTGGCGTTTAAACGCCTCCCAATCCCCATCAGCCGCCGTGAATTCCCGCACGAACAGGAGTCGGCGATTGCAGCGCAGGGACGTCCCGCTTTGTGGCTGGCGGGTTGTGGCGAAATGGCGGCCTCCCCGCTGCGCGATCCCGCCAAAATGGTTGCCGCGCGATCTGGCAGCGTGGCTGGAGTTTTTACGCGGCCAGACCGTGGCAGCAACTGCACCTTTGCCACGTGGTCCCGGCCCAAGCGCCCCCGTCGATGCCGTCCCCGATGTCGAGCTTGGCGACCAATTCAGCCCTGGTGCCCAGCAGCTCAGCGAGGCGGGCGCTCGTCACCCGACGATCCTCTGGCGGCGATGGGTCCACCGGCTAGACCGCGCAGCGCTGCTCCGTCGCCGGCGAAGTGTCGGCGGGGCTCTCCGGGGCTGCCATCCCCGGGGCTGTCGGCGGGACGAGATTTACGTCGTCGTCCTCTTCTCTCGAGGAATACCTTGTAGGTTGCCTACAGCGTGTGAGCATCGCGCCTCACTGCAGGTAAATAGACCCTAGTGTTTGCCACTTCCAACACCAAATGTAATGGTTCGATAGAGGCGCACACACTGAACTTGGGAGGCAACACTATTTATTTTTAACACAATGGGTAATTCTTAACATAGGGTGGTGACCACCTACAGTGAGGGAAAAAGTATTTGATCCCCTGCTGATTTCGTACGTTTGCCCACTGACAGAGAAATGATCAGTCTATCATTTTAATGGTAGGTTTATTTGAACAGTGAGAGACAGAATAACAACAAAAAAATCCGGAAAAACGCTTGTCAAAAATGTTATAAATTGATTTTCATTTTAATGATGGAAATAAGTATTTGACCCCCTCTCAATCAGAAAGATTTCTGGCTCCCAGGTGTCTTTTATACAGATAACGAGCTGAGATTAGGAGCACACTCTTAAAGGGAGTGCTCCTAATCTCAGCTTGTTACCTGTATAAAAGACACCTGTCCACAGAAGCAATCAATCAATCAGATTCCAAACTCTCCACCTTGGCCAAGACCAAAGAGCTCTCCAAGGATGTCAGGGACAAGATTGTAGACCTACACAAGGCTGGAATGGGCTACAAGACCATTGCCAAGCAGCTTGGTGAGAAGGTGACAACAGTTGGTGCGATTATTCGCAAATGGAAAGAAACACAAAAAGAACTGTCAATCTCCCTCGGCCTGGGGCTCCATGCAAGATCTCACCTCATGGAGTTTCAATGATCATGAGAACGGTGAGGAATCAACCCAGAACTACACGGGAGGATCTTCTCAATGATCTCAAGGCAGCTGGGACCATAGTCACCAAGAAAACAATTGGTAACACACTACGCCGTGAAGGATTGAAATCCTGCAGCGCCCGCAAGGTCCCTCTGCTCAAGAAAGAACATGTACATGCCCGTCTGAAGTTTGCCAATGAACATCTGAATGATTCAGAGGACAACTGGGAGAAAGTGTTGTGGTCAGATGAGACCAAAATGGAGCTCTTTGGCATCAACTCAACTCGCCGTGTTTGGAGGAGGAATGCTGCCCATGACCCCAAGAACAGCATCCCCACCATCAAACATGGAGGTGGAAACATTATGCTTTGGGGGTGTTTTTCTGCTAAGGGGACAGGACAACTTCACCGCATCAAAGGGACGATGGACGGGGTCATGTACCGTCAAATCTTGGGTGAGAACCTCCTTCCCTCAGCCAGGGCATTGAAAATGGGTCGTGGATGGGTATTCCAGCATGACAATGACCCAAAACACACAGCCAAGGCAACAAGGGAGTGGCTCAAGAAGGAGCACATTAAGGTCCTGGAGTGGCCTACCCAGTCTCCAGACCTTAATCCCATAGAAAATCTGTGGAGGGAGCTGAAGGTTCGAGTTGCCAAATGTCAGCCTCGGAACCTTAATGACTTGGAGAAGATCTGCAAAGAGGACTGGGACAAAATCCCTCCTGAGATGTGTGCAAACCTGGTGGCCAACTACAAGAAACGTCTGACCTGTGATTGCCAACAAGGGTTTTGCCACCAAGTACTTAGTCATGTTTTGCAGAGGGGTCAAATACTTATTTCCTTCATTAAAATGCAAATCAATTTAAAAACATTTTTGACATGCGTTTTCTGGATTTTGTTGTTGTTATTCTGTCTCTCACTGTTCAAATAAACCTACCATTAAAATTATAGACTGATCATTTATATGTCAGTGGGCAAACGTACAAAATCAGCAGGGGATCAAATACTTTTTTCCCTCACTGTACCTATCCTCGCTAATACATATCATCACCCGCTAACAATTGCTAAAACTGACCTCTCTGATGCGACTAGCGTGGACAGCAGGAGGCTACTGGTTGACCACGCTGACTTGAGGCTTGACTCTTCTTCTTCACGAGGCGTCTTCATGAGGCATCTTCATCCCGGACCGCCGAGCAGCCTCGAACCCGGTGCGGAGGCCGTTTATATGTGCCTCAGCATGTCCGGGCCACACCACCCGGCCACCCCCACCTTCGAGACTCTCGAGGAAGGCACTTTCTCTGTCCACGTGGCCCCCAAGGTCCCCCCGGGGCCCCCGTCCCCACCTTGATCCGGTAACGTGTCCAGCTGAGTTCATCCAGAGTGCACGGCCTCACCCAACCCCCGCGGGGGTACTGACCCACAGCCTCCAGACCCCCCGAACCGGACCGTGACGTCATTCCCACATCCCGACGTGATGATGTCATGTGTGCATGTTGTGACGCTCCCACCGCATAGTGATGTCACGCGTATGAGTGTGTAGGCTCACACGGTAGTGACGCTACAAGTCACTACAGTGGGAAGCAGTGCAGCAATTAGGTTAAGAGGTACGATTTTGGCGCAGTTTGAATATCCTCCGTTTGTTGCGCATTTGGCTCTCTGGGCGTTATCACCGCATTCAGGCGCAACAAGGAATTTCCGCAATTATCCCAATCAAAGAGCCACCAAAAAAAGGTCTCTCTTAAAGGCTGTGAAAGACTTTAACTCTTTGAGTGAAGTGGCCTACACCAATTTCTAAAAAAAAGTTAGGGGACTGATTTGAGACCACTACATGTGGTGGAGAGTAGTTTTTTGATGTCTCAAATTAAGAGGTTTGCCTGGTACACGTAATGACTCTTCACAATTTATTCCGATGCCTCTCATAACAAGGATGATGAAAAGGCATCTTTAATGACTTAATCACCAGTTATTCCAATCATGTTATATTCGTAATGTTTACGAGGCAAATAAATGCCCGAAGGCTCGTGAGCAGTGCCTCGTGTCCGTCAGGATTTGGCTGTTGGTTGACCGTCTGTTTGGTGAGGGTGACAACTCCGCAAGGGATAATATATGCATTGTCTTTGAAACTGATTGGCCTACATCAGAAACAGCCTTCTTTATGGCCTTCTCTCACCAGTGTTAGACTAGAGAAAGCCACAAGGCGAACAGTACAAGTACAATACAAATGTAGTGACATATAATGGGTCCACTATGGCGCCTAGTTCCAGTTACTGATAGAGAGGGGGACTGGGAGTGTAGTAGCGCTCCCTGCCAGCAGGGTACGCTATGTTATGGAAAGGGTCCGTAGGGGAGCATGGTTCTGGTGGCTGGCATTGAGGGGGCATCTGAGGAATAGCAGCCGGGTTGGCTGGCAAGGGCACGTGACCTGGACAGGGTAAGGGATGTGGGTCAAAGGTGACAGAAGGGAACACGTGGTGTAGGGTCCAGAACCTTCTGGTGAGTTTCAGAAGGGAGCGTGGCCGAGGGCGGAGCCAGGCCATACTGGGGGGCATAAAAGGGAGGTCCCGGGGCTGCATCGGGGCTGTCTGCTAAAATGGAACCCGCAGTGCTACGTCTTCTCCTCGGTCTCCGGTCTTCGTGCTCGGCATCGTGGGTCAGGCAGTGTGCCGACTGGCCTGACCCGTTTATATAGTTACTCCGTGGTGGTTACCGGTTATGTAGTTATCCCGTTGTGGTTACTGGTTATGTAGTTACCCCATTGTAATCGTAGAATAAACGTGTTAACTCCTGCATTAGTGTGTCTCTCAAGTGAACCCACTACACAAGTATCAGAGCACTTATAGCTCGGGTCGAGAATTATATATTTGTATTGCCTATTCTTATTTTTTCTAATTTTTGATACTTTCAAAAAGGACCCATAGATATAAATTAGTTTATTTAGGAATAAATTGTTTATTGAAGGCATTGTCTGGTACTCGATGGTTACTTTTAGGTAACTACTCATATGCCTTTTTAAAGTGCTCTGTAATTCACAGTTTACTGAATGTCACTCGCTTGATGTACATTATCATCAATGTGTGGGCAAGGCTGAAGCGACACAGCGAACTGTTTATGGATTCATTGGTGACCGACCGATCAGTGGTACATGCCGAGAACTTGCTTCAATCAAACCTGGTGCTCCAAACACCGTGGGTCCCAGCAGCGCTGGCTCGGTGCTCCAACACCATATTTTACCCCCTCTGGCACCATATGGAGGATGCGTCCTCGTACCGATGGGTTGGTCTAAATTCTGAGGATGAGAAGAAGCTTTGGTAACAGCCACCTTGGGCATGAAACGTTCTCCTCGGATAAAAACATTATTTGCAAACCGAATTATCACGGACACGCAGCTGATGATATTGTGGCTCCATTTCCAGCCAAGGCCAACCGCTGAGCCAGGGCACATTTGCCACGTGGCAAATGGGGACTTCATCACATTCCCACGTCCTCCTTCCCCCGGCCCTCCAGTCAAGCTGCACACAACACACCCTTCCGCTCATTTCTTCACACGACAAACACATATAGTAGTAGCACTACATGTGAAATTAAAGTGTCCCAAAAATTCGGGACCCTCCTGCTGAAGGAGTATTAGAATTACACGGAGGCTGTCTTGAACCGCATTTTGTCCCAGAAAACGTTTAAGTCTGGTCACCAATTGAAAGTCTACCAGTGCTGTGTTTTGTCAATTCTGTTGTTGTATGCTGTGGATGCCTGGACATAGCTGATTGGATCAGTTGCAGTCCTTCCACAGGCGGATGCCAAAAACACCTTCTTGGCATCCGATAGTTTCAACTTTGTGAGAAATGTCACCCATTGCAGCCTGCGGCTGGTCTCCTAGCAATTGAGAGCTTAGTTCGAGGGAGACGGCTTCTGTCACTCTGTGGACCACGTCGCTCCATCTTGATGCGCAAAACTCTAGCAGCAAATTGCGCACTTCAGTTGATGGTTAATGTTTGAAGTGGACTGCGGCACTCAAAGGAATGGTGCCTCCCCCGTGGTCACACCCCCGTGATATGCGAATGCAACAAATCACTCGAGATACCGGTGTATGGCAGCAAGAACAGCTCGTACGAATGCTGTCACAAGAGGTCACACTTTTGATGCAATGGTCCTCCACTGACTATGCGTGATGAATGCATGAGGCTGACCTGGTTTTGAGGGGTTTACAGGAACGTTGCTAATTGCATGCTTCTGCATCCCCAGCTGGAGTCGGTCAAAGTGCAAAGTTTCCAGCAGGACCAGGCAGCGTCCGCAGCCAAGGCCGAGTTGGCAGAGGTTCGGCGCACGATGCAAGGCTTAACGGTTGAGCTGGAATCTCTGATGGCGCTGGTGAGATATTCCACGCGTTTACACTCGCACATAGGCAAGCACAACATCAGCAGTCACCACTAGGTGGTAGTGATCTCACCATGTGCCAGCAGTGTCCGACTCTCCGTGTTGCTTAAAAGTCTTCGTTTTCCACCGTGCACTATTCTTTTGTGATGGGTTTTCTCGTAATTTACAGATTTGATTTTCGTCGGCATTAGCCAAGCTAATGGACCCATAACGTGAATCTGTCGACTCTGCAGATATGGTTTCCCAGAGGCGGACTTTTGCAACAGTGAGCATTGGTGGCTGTGGTGCACTTGATGAGTCCCAATAATAACACCGATCTAGATTTGCCTCTGTCTCACTGCTGCTGCTGTCGGTCGGTGACATCTGCCTACATTTATTTGATGGTGACCTAAGATGAGAGGACCACAATACAGCTCTTCAGCAACTGTTAGTTTTTTTTGTATAATGCACAAAGACTGGAGTGCTTTTTGGCCACGGAGCAGGCAAATATCCCTGACAATATGGAGTGGTATTGGAGAGTTGGTTGACCTGGCAATAGAGTTGGTTGATGACTCGTTTGTAGCAGGTGGGATATCGAACCTGCTTTATAACCCGAAAATCAAAACCAAATCTCTGTGACTAGATATGCATGATTTTGCAACCAATAACATGATTCATAATATATTTGGGTTAGGCCATGGAATGATTTAACCAAATCTATGTCCATTCTGACTTCTGAGATTGTTATTGACTTCCTGGATTTTGTCCTGATGATGCTCGACAAAGTTGAAATGAAACGGCATGTATGTAATTGCTAAATTCGTTCGTCAGGTTCTTTCTTCAACTCACCAGTGAGTGAGATGAAACAATAATAATTTGTGCATTGTTAAAGGCTCGTCCACCACGTGACGATTAATTTGTCTGGCTGTGTCAGGTCATGGAGGGTTCTTAACGACAAAAATATGGTCAAAAGATTTGGTGATACTGCGTTGATAGTGGTGCACAAATAACAAAAATGTATGATAGTCGACGTTTTTAGGCAATGGCCCTTATTACAGCACAAAAATAGAAAGCCAGAGAGATATAGTGGGTATTACAAAAGAGTTGGAGAGACTGTAAATATATATTTTTCTCATTGTTTAGAATATTTCTCATTTTATGTTGACATTTATATGATGGCGCTTTGAGTTGCAGATATTGTGCCAGAAATGCGCCACATATGTAAACAAAAATACACTTGACTGCGCTGAGACTGCACTTCATACCGTGGGGCCTGAACAGACCTTGTCAAGTGACTTTCTGGCCGAATCCAACAAAAAAAAAGCTATTCTGAACCGAAATCCCCATGCGGTGTCGTCCCCTCGCTCTTGACGGTTTCGTGCGCGGCTCCCATGCAGCTCGGCTCCCTCGAGGAGCAGCTGCGCCAGACGGAGCACGACAACGCCCGGGAGCTCTCCTCACACGGCGACCAGATCGGCGCTCTGCAGGGCAGGCTGCACTCCGTGCATGGCGCCACCAACGCCCAAGCTCCGAGACTACTCGGAGCTGCCTCAACATGAAGATGAAGCTGGAGCAGGAGATCGGCACCTACCGGCGCCTGCTGGAGGGCGAGGAAAGTGGGTATAACTAGGGACAAGTGGAGTCATTGGGGCTAGGCTCCATTTCTGTAAGCTACCGCTAGCCAACGGTGGAAATTTCACTTTCCCATGGTGGGCTCGAGTTTCTCATAATATAATCCATTATATGAGAGCTTATAATGTGAAGGTGTACTGGTGGGCGGCTGATATTACTCAAAGTGGCAAGCCACGCCTCTCGCAATGGTTTTGGCAAACATTGTCCCATGGGGACTGATTTTTGCCTTGGCAATGCCCTCCTGTGGTGGGTGCTATTGGCCCAATGAAGGCTCCTCTGCCTCTGGTAGTTAAACCGTACTTGGGCTTCCACCACCCTGAACGAGATCTCATTTAGCCACGACTACGTTTTTTATTTGAATGTACAGTGTAAGTAGTGAGAGATATTTGGAACTGGAGACTAGACTAGCAGACTGGAGCTGGTGGGCCTGAGTGGCAGTGGACAGTTCTTGATGGCGAGACACACGCTGTGAATTTGTGGCGAGCCACCACCCCCGTGGCAGCCATGTGGACGTGGAGCAACCAGGGCATTGACATGAGGTGGGGCAGCTTGTTTTCGTATTACGGCCGCGTGTTTGGGCATTCACTCTCTCAGTGATGGGTGGTCAATAACTTCAAAAGGCCCTGACCAAAGTGTGCAACCTTCCACAAAGCAGATATTAAAGATGCTGCCATTGTCATTCACGCATCAGGCTGTCATATATATTTACACACACACATATAATAATTTTGATTTAAAGCTTTCGTGACTGCAGTAATTCATATTCTTAGTTTTTTCGGTAAAGTCACGTTGAAGAGAAACAACAAAATAATAAAAAATATATAAAACAACAAAAAAATTCTCACGACGTTTCGACCATAACTCAAACGGTCATCTTCAGGTGTGTTGGGTAAACTGCCAAATCGTGGCAGTTTTATAATAATTTGTCAATGGATTTTGAAAAAGAGTCCTCTTAATTTAACAAGTTCCTCAGATTATTAACTGGCTAAAATTGAATGGCGATTAGTTTATTTCTGTTAGCCTTGTATTTCATGGCTTCCTTTTTAACATTTGCAATAACATATTCATCCATTTTCGTAATAACGTATTTCCATGTACAATTAACTGATTACATTGTCACGCACTCTCACGTTGATCAAAATATAGGGAAATAGCGAAATTGAACTTAACACATGGATGGCTCGCTCGGTGGTGATGTCACAGCCACAGATGCTGCGATCTCTCCCTGGTGTGGGTAAGGGCGGCTAACCTGTTAAACCCGTGTTATGTATCTCTGTCGTGTGCATCACATATGAGTAGTGACTGTGAAGTGGATAGCCATGGGTTTCTATTTTCACATCTGGATATAGCTCCACGCTAAATCAGTCAAGTTATCACCTGGATGTAAACTAGAACAAGTTGTTGTGCAAAAAGTTTCACTAATCTGGTTCTGATTTTGATTTTTGTTTTCACAGGTTCACCCGTTATCCCAGCTGAAGCTACAAAAGGTGCGTAATGTTGTTAAATTAACGCTTTATGTATATGAGAGTGTAACGCAGAGGCTTGCGCTTCTCGCATCAAGGCTGTACATTGATCATGGCGTGACATCACAGTTTTAATCAGGCCAGCTACTCATAATTAAATCGGGTTCTTAAATGTCGTGAGTTGATATTTACAGCTCGATGACATTGTGGCACAAAACCAAACGTTTACATTTGATATTTCACTGAATGATTAAATCCCACAAAATAATCATTGGCGTCTTTGTTCACTGAGCCTGAAAGTATTTCTTACAAAACCCATCGTTTCCAATGGCCCTTTGGAAGTGCATAATTGCAACATCATTGATTTAGTACAAGCAGACTCTAGCTCGGTTTCATCAGGATAGTCGGACACTGAATGAGATTTCATGAGCCCGGCTGAACTCTAAGGTCTAAAATGTGTAAATATGTCACCTGATTAACATTTAGTGTTCACGCTGAAGTGCCGTTTGCAATGACTTAATAAGCATTTCAGTGGGATTTCCATGGTCAATCCATTAGGTCACATGATGCTTTTGCCTGTTGGACGAGGTAAATTATTTGACTTAAAACTTGTCATAGATTATGTTAGTAGTTTATATATATACATAGTAGGTAACTATTGGACATGAGATGTGGGCCCTGGCTGCATCACGCTTTGTCACCACTGCCAGCCACATCTTGGTGCTGAGCCAGCAACCAGGGCAGCGCTGTGATAACACTCGTCCCTTATGGCAAGAAACGTCTGGGTTCGATTCCTGACTTGGCCACCTTTTTGTGTGGAGTTTGTATTATCTCTCCCTGTTCTGTGTGGGTTTCCTCCGGGTTCTCTAGTTTCCTCCCATAACTAAAATAAAACAACAACATGCAATCCTAATCTGAAGAATTATCTGCAAATGACTCATTTTAGATTACACATAGCAGCAACATCGCCGCTGACTTGAAAAACTTGACAGGGCCCTACTGCATACGAGTCTGGGGGCTTAACTCGGTAAACAAGTGTAAAATGATTTTGATTTAAAGCTTTCGTGACTGCAGGGATTCATATTCTTGGTTCTTTCGGTAAAGTGACGTAGAAGAGAAATAATAAAATAATAAAAAGAAAACTATTAAATCCTCACGACGTTTCGATTGCAACACGAGCAATCATCATCAGGTGCGAAAACCCACAGCAATAAAATTTGAAAAAAGTGGCAGTTTTTTCTGAACGTTAGCACCACGGACAGCAACTAGCGGTTGTTCAGACGGACGAGTCCATCTATGCTCGGAACGGAGGAGGGGGAGAGAAGGAGAATGGAATGTGGTCTGAAAGTCACCGTAAGCGTGAACACAATCAATTAAGACCCGAAATGGTTTATCACATCCTTCCAATGATTGCAAAGCCAGAATCCATCTTCTCGGTTGAAATTGTCTCTGTGTTTGTATATGTGGATAGCCTCATGAACGAATCTCTCATGGTAGCCAGATAGCTTGCAGAGAACCTCTGTCTTGGAGAAGTTAATGTTATGTGAGCCCACTGAATTATAACAGTGGTCTGCCACGGCTGAGGTGTTGGTCCTACCGTGTTTTAGGTCTGCTTTGTGTTCACGGATGCGGTCCGAGACATGTCGTTTGGTTTCTCCAATGTAACTGCTACCACAGAGGTGACTTAGTTTGTAGACGCCAGGGTACTGTATGTCTGGAATCACATCTTTTACAGACGGGACCAGATCATGGATTTTATGTACTGTGTTGAATCGGACCTGGATCTTGTGTTTATTCAAGATTTTGGAGATTTTTTTGTGACCACCGCAATGATAGGGTAAGGTGATGGTTTTGAATGGCTCCTCAAGAGGGTCCTTCTTCATGGCTGGAGTGATGGCTTGCAGATTGTGTAGTCAGAGTAACCATTAGCCTTGAGAGCTTGGTGTACAGTGAGGGAAAAAAGTATTTGATCCCCTGCTGATTTTGTACGTTTGCCCACTGACAAAGAAATGATCAGTCTATAATTTTAATGGTAGGTTTATTTGAACAGTGAGAGACAGAATAACAACAAAAAAAATCCAGAAAAAACGTATGTCAAAAATAAAAGACACCTGTCCACAGAAGCAATCAATCAATCAGATTCCAAACTCTCCACCATGGCCAAGACCAAAGAGCTATCCAAGGATGTCAGGGACAAGATTGTAGACTTACACAAGGCTGGAATGGGCTACAACACCATTGCCAAGCAGCTTGGTGAGAAGGTGACAACAGTTGGTGCGATTATTCGCAAATGGAAGAAACACAAAAGAACGTCAATCTCCCTCGGCCTGGGGCTCCATGCAAGATCTCACCTCATGGAGTTGCAATGATCATGATAACGGTGAGGAATCAGCCCATAACTACACGGGAGGATATTGTCAATGATCTCAAGGCAGCTGGGACCATAGTCACCAAGAAAACAATTGGTAACACACTACGCCGTGAAGGACTGTAATCCTGCAGCGCCCGCAAGGTCCCCCTGCTCAAGAAAGCACATATACATGCCCGTCTGAAGTTTGCCAATGAACATCTGAATGATTCAGAGGACAACTGGGTGAAAGTGTTGTGGTCAGATGAGACCAAAATGGAGCTCTTTGGCATCAACTCAACTCGCCGTGTTTGGAGGAGGAGGAATGCTGCCTATGACCCCAAGAACACCATCCCCACCGTCAAACATGGAGGTGGAAACATTATGCTTTGGGGTTTTTTTCTGCTAATGGGACAGGACAACTTCACCGCATCAAAGGGACGATGGACGGGGCCATGTACCGTCAAATCTTGGGTGAGAACCTCCTTCCCTCAGCCAGGGCATTGAAAATGGGTTGTGGATGGGTATTCCAGCATGACAATGACCCAAAACACACGGTCAAGGCAACAAAGAAGTGGCTCAAGAAGGAGCACATTAAGGTCCTGGAGTGGCCTAGCCAGTGTCCAGACCTTAATCCCATATAAAATCTGTGGAGGGAGCTGAAGGTTCGAGTTACCAAACGTCAGCCTCGAAACTTTAATGACTTGGAGAAGATCTGCAAAGAGGAGTGAGACAAAATCCCTCCTGAGATGTGTGCAAACCTGGTGGCCAACTACAAGAAACGTCTGACCTCTGTGATTGCAACAAGGGTTTTTGCCACCAAGTGCTAAGTCATGTTTGTAGAGGGGTCAAGTACTTATTTCCCTCGTTAAATGCAAATCAATTTATAACATTTTTGACATGCGTTTTTCTGGATTTTGTTGTTGTTATTCTGTCTCTCACTGTTCAAATAAATCTACCATTAATATCATAGACTGATCATTTATATGTCAGTGGGCAAACGTACAAAATCAGCAGGGGATCAAATACTTTTTTCCCTCACTGTACGTGCTTGAGTTCACTGGCAATGTGTTCCTCGTCGGAGATGCATTGGGCTCTATGGTGTAGAGTCTTGATGAGGGAATTCTTCTGGGATGGATGGCGATGGGAATCCTGTTTTAGGTAAGCATCTGTATGGGTAGCTTTCCTGTAGACAGAGTGGCTCATTGAACCATCAGGTCTCTTTTTATTAGGACATCCAAAAAAGGTAGCTTGCCATCTTTTTCGATCTTTTTCGACTTCCATGGTAAATCTGATGGCTGGGTATATGGAATTGATGTGGTCGAGGAATTGGTCTAGAGCAGGCGGCCATGTGGCAGGATGACAAAAGTGTCATCCACGTACCTTTTCCATAAGGTCGGGCGTAGAGTGGCAGTCTCAAATTTCTCCATGAAAACGTTGGCTACAACCGGAGATAGTGGGGAGCCCATTGGGGTGCCCTCAGTTTGTAGAAAGTTCCATTCCAGGTGAAGTATGTATTGGTTAAGCAGTGTCTCACCAGGGGGGGTACCTCAGTGGTTCAGTCCTTGATGAACCAAGTCTTCAATAATTGCGATGGTGTCAGGTACAGGAACTTTGGTGAATAAGGATACCACGTCAAAACTGGCAAGCAGGTCGTCTGGGGACAGGGAAATACCCTTGATTGTCGATACCAGGTGAGTAGAATTTAGTACCGCAGAGGTGGTTTTTCCAGTGAAAGGCCGCAGGATTTCAGACAAAAAACGAGCCGGTTTGTAGGTGGGGGAGTTGATAGTAGAGACGAAGGGACGAAGGGGGTGTATCTTCTTTATGTATCTTTGGCAAGCCATATAATCTTGGTGGCCTGGCAGCAGAAGGTTTCAACGAGAACTGGTTTGATCAATTAATGCGGTTGAATCAGAAATGATTTTGTTGGTTTGACAACTTGATTTCCAAGTTTTATTGTTTCATTTTTATTATTTCCCTTCAACGTGACTTCACCGAAAGAACCAAGCATAAGTGTAGAATGCAAACTACCAAATTCACCACTCGTTTTCCTGTAGAATTTTCTGCTATAGGAAAATATGAGTGGCGTTTTTAGTAATTTTAGAGGCGTTCAAATGCTAGTCTATTGTAATGAGTAAACGGCGGATGTTATGCCACGCCGATGTGCACGATGCAAGTGATTGCGGCGGCGATGTCTCATTGCAGAGGAGGTTAAGAAGAGGAAGAAAGTTGTCATCACTCAGACCATTGTGGATGGTGAAGTGATCAACACGTCTGAAGAGGTGTCTGAAAGTAACGAGAAGTCTTGAACGTGGGAAATACCTGCGTCTTCCCTGTAGTTATTACCGGCAACCCTTTGTTTTGAATTGCACGACTTAAACTGGACAGTATAATTTATGGAGCGTAGTTCTTAAATGGGAAAAAGTATCTGTTGTATAAAGTGACACGTGTATACATGCGCAGTTGTTCCACAATAGGTAACAGCTGACGGATGTTGGACACTGGAAACCTTTTTGGCAAGGCGCATGTCCTCCCCAACTGAACATTATTCTCATCGGCTGACAAAATGGAGACTGGTCGCGTCAAATCGTAGCAGAATACCGGAATGATATTGTGCAAGTTCACTGCAGTATTCCCTCGTTAGTCGCCAAGGATACTCGTGAATAGAACATTTTGCGGAGAGTGATTTTGCCCTACGAAAACCTATCTTTTTAATGAATTACCTTAGATAAGCACACCAATAAGCTATTAAATACATGAAAATTATAGCATAAACAATTTAATATTCGTTATAATAAACAAAGTGCAAATAAATGTTAAAGTACTGAATAATAGTTTAGAAATTCTCATTTTATCTTATCACATTTTCTCATCAATTATTTCTCCTCTCGATGCGTTAGTCGTGTAGAGTTCCAGATGCGATTCGTGGACAGCCCAAAATCGCGGATAACAAGTTATGAATAACAAGGGAATACTGTACAGCGCGTGTCAGCGGCAGCTTGATGTAGCGCCCAACCACAACAGCTGAAATACTGCCCATTTGGCTTTTCTCACCAATAAAACCTACAACGGTTACGGTTAAGTTGCAAATAATTCTGCGTGTTTTCCCTGCAATTAAAGCGGATCCTGCCTACAGCACACTGAATCCTGCCACTGCATATCGGTTTTATGGAAGCTCCAACGTTTTTCAGATGCAAATGTTTTTCATGTTACAGCACTAAGCACAATAGCTAGAAATTTTACTTCACTAACTGATCTGTTGCTGAATCGCTCGATTGATATCAAATGTATAGATGTTACATTTTGATTGATTGTATTTGTCTACTGGGGTAAGAAACATTCAGCCGTAAGCTACTTTACAAGTGTAGTGAGTCCAACTGAGTTGCAGACGTTATATTGGGAGCAACACTATTTATTAACACAACAGCACGAACATAACGCAACCTATGCTCGGGTCTCGAATGCCCATCTAGCCACACTACGGTGGAACTAGACGCGGTTCGCTATCCTGGTCCGGACCACAAGCTGGGTCCCGTACCGCGTGGCTAGAGGCTTCTTCTCCCTTACGTGGGTCTTCCAACACCAACACTTGAAGAACCCTGAGCTCCTCACGGAGCAATCGTTATATGCTCCCGGGCTGGGGCTGGCTCCGCCCTTAGCACCGCCCACCTTCCAGGCTCCTCGGGCTCCTTCTCGAATGTTCCCGAGAGCTTTCCGGAACCACCGGTGGCCCCCGTCCAGTATAGTCCGGTCACGCGTCAGCAGGTCAGCCAGAGTGTCATGCCCCAGGGTAACCCTGGCTGGCTGACGCTCCCCCCTCGCTCCCTCACTGGGAGCCGGCACCGCACATCGCTCGCGGTGCCTTCGCGCTCACCCAACCACCGCTAGAGTTGGTACTGCAGCCCATACCACGGGCTGCCCGCAATGACAACATTACCAGCCGTGACTTCGCAAGTCCCGGCACCACACAGTGACAAGCACAGTCACTACACAAGGATCCGAGTGAAAAAAGGAAGTTATAGCAAATAAATCAACATTGCAGACACCGAGTGGCAAACGCAGTCAAGGAAAACAACATTCGGGTACTGCACCACTCAAGCGAACTCTTTGAAGACCGCATGCTGTTCGTGGTGTTTCTAAGCAACGTTAAAGTATATTTGTTTAGCGAGAGACCAAAGATGAGGATTCCCATGACCGGAACTGCAGGCCACTGCCAGTCTAGAGAGAGTCTGCAGACATTTCTCGAGTTGCCAGAAGCTTTGTACCCAAGACTAAATTAGAAATTATGATGAGGGAAAACATGATACAGAACATAGACTGGTGATTGCCTCCACTATGTTGAGTTGTGTCATTGGCATTCCTCATGGCTCGTGATGTAATTACATTCCACCCTCTTGTATATTTCATCACTGTATTTGTTTAACGTGTTTTACTCTACACAATATGCTGTTCAGTTATCAATGTAATGCAAAGCTAAACATACAATCGAGGTGTAGGTTTTAACTTAGGGGACTTAATTGTTGCTTTTTAAAAATGTATTCCTTATGTAGTTGGATTTGTGTAAGCTTGCATGCACATAAATTCACTCGTGTGTGTGTACGTGGTTTAGCATGTTCAAATTCCTTGCCAAGCATTAATAAAAAGCTCTTGTTCTCTATGTGTTCTGCTTGAGTTGTGCTGGAGTTTATTTATGTTATTTAACGAATGCTTTTACACGTGACTTTTACACAGTTCGGGCACCGTATACAAAATAAAATCTACTCCAGCTGGAGTGATTGTGTACAGCAAGGTACCCAAATAACGGCCACGACCCGCACGGCTTGGCGAGGCCCTCATCCAGCAGTGGATAGACGCAAGGGCTGCACATGCGCAGTATTTATAATTACGACATTCCTGCAGCTTGGGACTCGAGCGATGAACTCGGACATGATATCTGCTACCACTACATCTGGGGGTGAGTGTGGGGGAGCAATGGTAACGGAGGACGGGTCCTGTGACCGGGGTTGGCACATGCAGTGCAGAACATGAGCTGTACGTTAGATGTGTAGAGGAGTAGAATGGGGAAGTGGCGTCACGTGTGCTGTCCAGGGCGATGACGTGACGTCATGCGCTCGGGGCAGCAGAATGACGTCACGGATCCCCAAAGATAAAAGGGGGACCCCGTGACGTAGGGCGGGGTCGGAGCTGGAGAGTAGGGTCGGAGAAGGGTGGAACGGGGAGCCAGGGGCAAGAGGGTAGGGATAGGGGAGAGGGCACAGTGCCAGGCTAGACGTGGCTGCGCTCCTCGCTCGGCCGTGTTGGCTGATCCCACGGCCGGCGCAGAGGAGACAGCACAGGGCCAGCCGGCTGTGTCGGGACCTAGCCCGGGACCCCTAACCCCTGGGAAGTTGTTCACCCCCTGTGTGTGCTGTTAAGATTTGTAATAAACCTTTGGCGGATGCCCTTAAATTACCTCAGCCTCCGAGTGAGTCGTCGGGAACTTCTCAACAGATGTACGAGTTACTCGCGAACATCGCAGCAGATCAAAACGCAGCTGGAGTAGATTTGTCACGCAGGCAGTTTTTTTTTTTTCACGGGAAACCACAGACAAGTGGCAGGGAAGGCAACCAGAGCCCAGCTCTGTTGCCCCACACTGTATTGGGATGTTTGGCCAACTACATTAAACGAGTGTTTATACGTGTGCGAGAAAATCGGAGAACATGAGTAACACTCAATTCACGTATATAGTGGAATGTGAGTTAAAAATGAACCCACTTGCTGTACTGGCATACCCTGGGCAAGCCAGAATATGGCGACCGAATGTGTGTGATCCACCCACAATTATGCATTAAGTCGATGCTCAATTCCTATTTTCGTAATGCATAGAAAGCACCCGCTGCACGGCAAGACCCACACTATACATCCAGGAATGTCCATTCTTCTATGGGCGATTCCCATGTTAAAATCTGAACACATCTGCATGGATAAGCATCTATTGCTGTGTTCATTAAAACATGAGTGGGGCGCATATGTGTGTCATACATGAGTGGGCATCCAATAATTTGGTAGTCTTGGTAAGTCAAATTGGGAGCCCCTGTGGTCGATTTCATTGTCTAGGTCGTGAGAGTCATAGTCTGGGAGGTCCCATTGGTAGTCCTCGTGGTCCCTTTGTTCTCCTGGGTAGTGATTCGAGTGGACCATGTGATCCCATTGGTGTTCGTGGAGGGTTTTCACTCCCAGCCCCTGTGGAGTTTGTCACTGGCGCATCAGCGCCCGGTGGTTCGCCCAGAATGTGCAAATCCTAATGGTTTTGTCTCTCATTGATAACTTGGTATCGCTTGGTCCAAATAGTGCGATTCAGCCTTGCAACCAGCTCGTCCGTCTGTGGGTGGTAAGGTGAGGCGCGCAGCTTTTAGGTGCCAAAAATAGCGCGGATCTCCTTCTTAAAGTGTTCGGGGCTTATCCACCACATGCCCATTATTTTGTGCCGTCTGGTCTGAGAGAGGCCACGCAATGGGCCAGCGGGTCCTGTATTCAGCCCCAACCAGCAGATCATGATTCACTTGCGGAGTAGTGGGAAGGGACCCAGGGTATCTAGAGAAACTATCTCATCTCATCTACCTTAGAGAGTGATGGGTTGCAATGAAATGTTAGTGGTACAAAAGCGGGTGGTTTGCATCGTGCACAATCTTCACAATGAACGACCGTCAACATACCCGGACAGTAATCGTGATTTTTCAACCCGGCGCTAGTCTCGTTTTCTCCCAGGTGCATGAGCTGCTGCTGCTGCGTGTGAATGCCCTTAACCAACTTCCCTCGCCACGAACTGGGAACAAGAATGCATCGGCGCTGTGAGTCCGCATCTCAACATATTAGAAGGCCAATGATAAAAGTGCGACATCAAATGACTGAGATGCAGCCCTCTTTGTTGTTGATGAAGTCCCTAATGGGGTTTAAGGATGCATCGTCCTCCTGGCCTTGAATCCGATCGGCCTGAGTTGATCATAAACCACAAGGGCAGACTGGTCTCCCTCTGGCCCTGCTGATACTGGGGGCAATAACCCGGCTCCCCGCTGGGTCGATCTCCTAACAGCATGCTGAACCTGTCATGCACACACACATCCTATCGGGGAGCCTAGGCAAGAGAAAGCCTCGTCGCGAAAGCATACGTGTTAAACATACGTGTTAAACATACGTGTTAAACCAAGAGACAGCATCTGCGTTGGAATGGCGGGCACTCTTGCGATGAACGAAATCAAACTAAATTCCTGCAGTCGCTCAATCCATCATCCCATCTGGCTTGACGGCCGGTTGATTAGAGAGTATTATA